ATTATAGCTTCCATTTAATCTCACTTTGTCAACGTAACTATAGCCCATGTCCACATTCCATGATGGAATAACGTAATTAATGAATATTTTCCCTTTTTTGGGTCATTTTGCCCAACTTTTCTCAATAAAAATTAATGGAATGTATAATTATGTTTTATGAATGAGTTAATCGTGGAAACATAGTAAAAAAGCACAGAAAGAATTTCATCTAACATATAATAGGATCAAGAAATAAGAACATAGGGAAATATTTATAGCAATAATGAGTATAAATAATATCGAAGTAGACTTTCTTCTTATTTCGGGAGGTAGAGAGACTACTAGATAGACTTCATCCGATCAAGTAAAAAATAAAATAAAAACACTAGAAAAGACATGCCAAAGCATTCTTACAAAAATTAAAAACAATAAAGCAATATTGTAGTCTAAGTTAAATAATATTAAATACGAAAAAATATATAAATGTGTGAACTAAACCTAAACATGTAATTATCAATTTATCCAACTAAATTCAAAAATAAATTATTTACATTATCATAAATATATTAATCATCAGTAAAATCTACTATAGTCAGTCTTTTAAGAGACTTAATTACACGACATTCAGTTGTTATTAATAATATCTCTTAGCGTGTTTTTAGTAGGGAGAAAAGTGACTTCATTTTTTTTATCAATCAAATATAAAAAAATTAAAGAATATTTTCATATTTACCTCACCATCAAGTCATTTCTTTATTGTCTTTCCTTGTTGAAGACAAAGCTAAATTGCAAAACTTTGTTTTTATGGTAGGGGAAGACGGTTTTTATGAGTTCGGATAGAATTAATGATATGAATTTAATAATATTAAACAGTTCTCATTATAATATATTATATAAAAATTATCATTTAATACTGATTATATATAAATCAAACATATATTAAATTTTGAAATCATAAATTTATATTTTAAATCCGACTCCGTTAATCGAATGCATTACTCTTTTGTAAGAAGACAAACTACCAATAATGGTGTGTACTATTTGTGACAAGTCTAATTGAGTAGACACACAACTAAGATATTTTCAAAAATGGAAGGAAATTGGTTCCCACCAATATAATGTACATTAAATCATTATATTGTCACTTTTCAATAATGTATCAAAAAACAAAAGAGCAACTAAAAAAATGACGAGTGGAGTGTAATAATTCTTTTTAGTTGGTTCATCTAATTATGCTACCATTGATAAAGAGTGATGCTCATCAAAATTAATGTAATTTATAGTGCAATGGTCAAATATACATGGTCCTTAATTATTATATTTATTGATAATGAATTGTTGTCATCTAGTAATTATCAAGTGAAAATTGTCATAATTTGAATTATTATTTAGTTGAAACTTAATTAGCTTGAAGTAACATGTGATTACCTCTAATGATGATTATTTTGGTTCACCATATAAGAATTTAAAGTTTTAAAGTTAACACAGAGAATTGGATGATTAATTATTAAATAATCTCTACGGCTTAGGTTTAAGAAATTAATATTTTAATCTTGTATTGCTTTCACATCAAAGTTCACTTCTTTTTTAAGCATAATTTGTTCAAAACTTATAAAATGAAGTTTGTCTTTAGTAAATAAATATTTATAAACATCGAAAATATTATCAAAATGACAATCTCCTAGAAAGAAATAGGAGAAAATCATTGTAAAGAATTCTTTTTAGTTTTTTTTTTTGGTTAATTTCGGTTACATTTTTTTTAGATCATTGTTGCCCATCATTTCATAATATATTGTATTATATTGTACTGTATTGTATGGTAGATACAATGTCTGGTTAGACTGTATTGTTTGTTATTGTTTAATAAGATTTTAATTGTTTGGTTTGATTGTGTTGTAATTTATAAATTTACTAAAATATCCCAATTATTTTAGGGTGGGAGGTTTGACTAGATTCAAATAATTAAGATAAAGAGTAAAATAGTATTTTAAAATATTATGTAAATATATAATTGAAAAAAGAAATTAAGTAACAATGGGAACGCACCAAATTGATTATTCCATAAAATAGGAATTTTCATTGTTACGTAACAACGAAATTTAACAATACAATACAATACATTTTAAGTAACAATAAAAAAAATATGGTAGGTATAGTATCAATACAATACAATACAATACAATGGATAATAATGATCCAAACATAGTGTTAGTTGTATCTTATATCTATATCTCAAGTATTATTCTTTTAGGGATATAACTATTCGATTTTTATTTTCATATTTTGCGAAAAAGTCTAACTTTATTATCTGTTAAATTTTTTTTCGCATTCATGTTCCTACTATTAGTATAATTTTTACCTCGAAGTTGTCATTAGTTACTAACAAACCAACATTATATTAGTAAAAAAAATTGATTTGCAATAATTTGCAGAAGGTCTGACTTTGGCGTAAAAATTGTCGATCTAATTTAATTAATTTTTCATGGAAATGGATCACACAATGATCCAATTATCCTCGAGTTGTGATGTAATTTATTTTTTATGCAAAATGTCAAGTGAATGATTTCATAATTTGAACACGTAATTTATTATTTATTAATTACACAAAAGAAGTAATTCTATCATTATTTTACAACTTCACATCATTTTGAAAATTTTAAGTTTTTGATATTAACACAAATTAATTTATAAAATGTTGTAGGAAAGAGATTGATCTCCTAATATCTCCCAACTACTACTTCACTCTTTAGACTTCATTAAGCTAGACAAAACATACACCTAAACTAAATCAATCAAAGCATTGTATAGTAATAAATATATCTACATTAACTATACACAAATTATAGTTTAATTTACATAGTATACTAAATGTTGATGCTATTTATTGTTGTGGACTTTGGATTGACGGCGCTGTACTGAGTGAAAATTTATTTTCTTTTAATTTTAGGATTAATTACACTAAATATCATAAATCAAACACTTACATCATATCTATAATAAAAATCCTACAATCAAACTCTTTATAAGATATATCTAAAATATAATTACTATCAGATTTATAAATAAAAAGTTTATTTAATGTAATTTTAAACTTTTAAGTAAAAGAACAAATTAACAAAATAGAATAAAAATGAAAAAAATCTTGTATAATAAAATATATAATTAATAAAAATACAAATAATTTACATGTTCAAAGTGTAGGACAGTTTACTAATAGTTGGTATCATGGTATATATATCTATCAAGTAACTTGATTTTTCTTCTTTTTTATTTATAAGTTTCAAAAGATACCTATTTCAATTTTTCTTTTTTATATCATTTGTTTTAATCAAATGAGTGAACAAATATATTCAACAATTTTATTTTTATCTTCCTCATTAAATTTCATAAAAATAAATCCACAAACTTTTCTATTTATAATTTCAATTTACATTTTAATAGTTATATTTAGTTATAGATATATCTCGTAGGAGGTGTGAGTACAACATTTCTACAATAGGAAGAATATAGTATTTGATTTTAAAATATAAAGAAAATATCTGAAATTAAATAATATACTAAGACTGTTTAGTATAATTAACTCTTTCTCTTAAGCACGTATCGTTTTAATTTGGTAATTCAACAATTTCAAGATACTTTTTTTTGGTTGGCTTCAATTGATATATTTATCATATTTATAAAACAATCCTACCGTAAAATACATAAAGATTTACATTATCTTTTTTATCTGGTGATATTTCATATTTGTATTGAGGTTCGATTCAATTTGAATTTATATACTATATGATTCATTTCTAAAAGCAGTCACTCAATAGAGCTTTCTCCCTTCCCAAAGGCTCGAAATTAAAACTTTTAACTAAAAGTAAAGAAATCTTATCATAGTTAAATAATTTTCGGAAAAACCTTTTGTATTAAGCTAGACAGTTTCTCGTGAAAGTTAAAGGAACAAATCTTTTTAGGATAATTTTCTGTTTTTATTTGGGTACATATCATTTTTGATAAATGACTGTAGGGATATAAGTTTTCTAAATATATGACAAAAGAACACCAAAAAGTGTAAAAGGTGAAAAGCCAAGCAATACCACTTTTAAATGGGTCATTTGCACAGTTGCACTTTTGGCCATATTTTGTGCTAGTATTAACAATTTGTTTCTCACAAGTCATAGAAAACAATATTTTTGTTTACGATGACTCAGTTAGTTTGGAGGGTGATTATTCATACGGATGATTTGAGATCAACTTTTTTTAAAATGTCTTCTGAGTAGAATCTGTCGCGCAAGGCTTGCTTAGTGCAGTTTACATTCCATGTGTGGTTTGCTAGCTATTGCGCAGTAGAAGATTTATCCAGCGCGCACAAAGTACTCACTCAAAGGACAAAGACTGTGACAAAGATTGTAGCGGCTACGAATTATCATGAAATTTTAAAAAAATATATTTTTATAGAACATAATTTATATTTTTACATTATAATATCTCAAAAATTATATTGGGACATGATTTCAATTTTAAAAAACATATGCCTAATTAGATTTAAATTTGATTAATAAAAGATTAAATATTACCAAAGAAAAACATTAATATTTAAAAACTTGACCATTTCGTGCACTCACGGCCCACAGACTTTTTTTCACTCTCTTTACAGCCCATTAATGAAAAAGAGTTTGTATCTCGAGTTAATATTTTTTTTTCACCCTGTGTAGTTTATATTGGAGCTTCGATTTAAATTACATTATGCATTATAGGATCAATTCAGGAGGTAAAGCTCTCAATAACGAAAAAATCATACTCAGGGTTCAAATTCAAGAACCATGATTAAAGATAAAATAGTCTCATCATTGCATCACAACTCATGTTGCTCATTGAATTGTTTTCAATTAAAAGTAATAAAAATAATACAAACAGTAAATCTGAGCAGCTATTTGAAAGAAGAATATTGTTCAAACTTTCATATGACAAAGTCCAAACAATACTATGATAATATTAGCTTATATATTTTGAGGATAGCATCTTCACATCTTTGAAGATAATTGCAACTGTATATGAATATTATTCAATAAAATTAATTAAAATGACGATTATAATATTACAAATTACAATTAATCAAGTCAAACTAGAATCACAAATGACACAATTTGTCTAAGCATAATTATGATTTGCACACATAGTTTGACGATAAAAAAGTGAATTACTAAAACCAATTCTTCTCCTCGATAAATCAAATTCTATAAGATTGTCTTGCATTTGATATCCACCAACAACAATTGCTTGTCCCCTTGCTTCTTTTCGTTCAACAAATGCTAAACATATAACACCTTCCTTGACTTTTACTAGCGAATTCGATCCAATAATCGTCCAATAAACACTTTGTTTCTGAAATACGATATTAATTTCAGGTGCATCGTAACCTAGGCGTGACACACCAATATATGTCGAGTCGAAACAAGTTTTAAAAGGTTGCACTGAGGGTACCTTTGTAACTTCTTTAGGCATTTCATTAATAAAAGCTTTACTTACGATATCGTAAATAGACGGCTCTAATTCAGTATACGGAACGTTCGTGCTGATTCTCGTTCCGCCTTCTTCGTTTTCGTCTAACGAGAGTAGTGTTTTGTTTAATGGTAAAGTTTTTCCGTTAATTCTAACGGAATTAACTTGGATGTAATACTCTGGCGAGGGGCGAATGACGCTTATATAATGTGGGTAGGTAATGGTAACGAAACGTTGTTGGGTGATTATAGGTGTGTAGATTAGATCTCGCGATGCATCGAACGCAAGGCTAATGAAATAAGGGCTATGTCCGATGAAAATTACACCGTTTCGTTTAGTTGATGAGCTTAAACAAATGGCAAATTGCCTACTGAATTTGAAAATTGATGCAAATTGAGTAGCAAATGAGACTGGACTTTGCTGCCCAAAACCAACCATTCCTTTAACATTTTTGCCTAAATTTTGTGTTAAATTGGATGTAGTAGGAGGACAACTAAAGATGAAATTTGGGACAATTGCAGCGGGTCCTGGAATTGACCCGTTAATTGATTGAATTGTCAAAACATCGTCCGCGATTTCACCTATAGTGGAGGTAACAGGATTTGAAACAACGTTATAGCACGAGTTGCAAATGGGTAAGAATGTGTCATTCTCATAACAATTTCCACATGATGTTGACCAGGCAAGATCACATTGCGCTGATTCGCAACGCGCGGGCTTGTACGTTGAGCTTTTGTGGCCATTTTGACAATCAACCCATAGGCTTTCACCACCAAGATTGAGGGCTAGTTTAAGAGGGACAAGAGGTGTTCTTTGGTGAATTTGAGTAATGTATTGTAGGGTGGATGGATCTTTTTTGACTAATAGGAACAAAGTTTTGGGTTGGAAATTGGATTTTGATAAAGTAGTGGATGTGATGAGAAGAAAATTAAAGAGAAAAATATAGTACTTGGTCGATGACATGGGAAATAATTTCATGATGTGTAGTATAAAGTAGAAAGAATGTAAGCAAAAGGCTTGTAAACAAAATTTTTGGACATATCTTAGGCATGTATTTATAGGCAAAGCGTAAAATGAATGGTTAGGACTCAATTTGGACAGGTTAAAATAGATTGAGTTAAAAATCGAACGAATTATTGACTCTTTCAAAAATTACTTAGGCTGAAATGGACTATAATGCGGATCATAACTCAACTTGTATTTGTAAAATTCTGTACCTTACAAAATTATTATTTTTCTTTATTATTATGGCTATAAGGAAAAAGAATACTTTTAAAAATATTAACAAGATTTCTCGTTAATTAATTTGAATTATATACCAATCCAAACTTGATGGATTAAAAAGATTGAACTGATATAATTGATCTAATAAATAAGGAAATTGATAATCAACTCAAATATGAATAGGATATGATCCAATGAGCTAATTATGTCATCTTTAAGCTAAAGGATGTGATTTATTTATGATTGCTAGCTAATTAGTGATTAATCCGTTAAACAAGAGTGATTTTTCAGCCACTTTGAAATATAGATAGGTAACACATCTTATCTTGTTTTTATGATTTTAAATTCCAAATTTTGAAAAGATTGACCTGTAGATATAATTTGATAAACATAATTTACTCATAATATAAAACTTAAATTAAACTAACATATTGCTTTCATTTTCAACAACCTTTTAGTGTACTCAAATTATAACGCCAGTCATGTGACCCATGTGGATATTTGACTTAACTCCCCTTTAATTATTTTCTTCCTGTGAATTAATACATTATTAATGTACTTCTAATTAAGCTTTAATTTGCTGCCAAACAAAGTAAGTTGTAAATTGCAGATCCTTCTTCATTGTGACCATATGTTTGACCAGTTCAAAATGGCCAAACCTCTTTGTGTTTGAGTTCTCCATAACGAAAATTAAAGAATGCATGATTTCGAATTTAGTTGGATTAAATATCGAGTACTAGATATATTTTTTTAAGAGTAACTTAAGATACTTACATGAGTTGTGGTGAAATAATTGAGATTTTTACATTTTTGATTTAATTAAACATCTCATGTTCGAATTCCTATAAATAAAAATTGATAATTTTATAATGCATTCTTTGAATGTAGTTGGATCAAATAACGATAAAACATTTTTTTTTAAAAGAAAAACTTAAACTATTTTCTACGTTAATTAATTAACTTTAACATGAATTAATTTGACTCTTTCAAATGTGACAACAATAATACTTAGAGTTACTTCAAGAGTCATAAATGCTTAGGATAATATAATATTATAAACATAAATATAAGTAAAAATGAGTTTTCTCGATTTTGCAGCAAAGAGTAACGGTGACATTCGTCTAGTTATAATTGTTTTTCTTTCTTATTCGTGTTTCTTATTTGATATAAAAATATAATTAAATTTAAATTTATATTAAAAAATAAAATACTTTCTAATCTTATCTATTTGTAGCACATAAAATATATAAATTATTGTGCACAAAGTCTTGGCTCATACTACATAGGAGTAATACATTGACCAAAGTACTCTAAAATATTTAATCTAAAAAAATGTACTCCATATGTTTCTAGTATTAACTATGACCAAATATGAGGGACGATCTTCTGATAAAATAAATAATATGTAAATATATGAAAAAATTACATATATTAATAAATTTTAATAAATAATTACTGATTTTAGCATTATTTTTTATTTATTATTATTTATAACAATACTATGTTAAATCTGTCATATGTATTAAAACTGAATTATATATGAATTATGATTGTTTTTCTAAAATATATTATGTTTTTTTAGTATAAACTTGACACATTGTATTATAAGTGAATTAAAATGTATGATAAATGAATTATTTATCATTAAAATTTATATTATATGGGAATAAAAAATTATTCTTTATAATATGAATTAAACTTGTATTATAAATACATTAAAAGTGATCAAGTAAAAAACAATATTATTACTTTAAATGAAAAATATTTTATTATTATAGTATATTTATATAAATTTCCATTATATATCAACAGTTATTTTCGTTCGAATTAAAAAGACTTTCTTACTTAGAATAGGCAGTCAGTTCAATATTAGATAAAAAGGGTAAAATCTCCGTTCTTGCAATTTACAGTTAACAGTTAAAATATATTTTCTCAATAATAAATATCTTTATTAAATAAAAACCAAAATTGGATTTATATAATATGTAGATTGTTACACAACAGGGATCCGTGGCGCAATGGTAGCGCGTCTGACTCCAGATCAGAAGGTTGCGTGTTCGATTCACGTCGGGTTCAAAACCCCGAAACATTTCGGTCCCAATTTTTTTTTTCAATAATCTTATATTAGACCTTGAACGAAACATTTCAAAAGTTATATGATGACTGGTGATAGCGATGCGTAAATTCTATATTAGACTTGAACGAAACATTTCAAAAGTTGTATGGTGACTGGTGATAGCGATGCGTAATTTCCATCACGAACGAAATATTTTAAAAGTTATATGGTGACTGGTAATGGTGATGCGTAAATCCTATATTAGATCTTGAACGAAACATTTTAAAAGTTATATGGTGACTAGTGATGACGCTGCGTAAATCCTATATTAGACCTTCAACGAAATATTTAAAAGTTATATGGTGACTAGTAATAGCAGTAGTAATAGTGGTTGACTGTTCTTAGTGTCCGTTGAAAATGTTTTCGATTGATACCACGGGCACAATCTTCACATCTTTCAACAAGCATTTCACTAATAAAAGCTTTACTACTCTCTAAATTAGAAGGTTCAATATAGTAAGGAACGACCATAGTAATTCTAACGAGAGCAATATTTTGTTCAATGGCAATGATTTTTTGGTAATTGTATAGGACGAAACTTTGAATATAATACTCTAGTGAGATGCGATTGATGATTAAATTTTTTTTTTTGCATGGATCACAATAGGCATATAGATAATATCTTGCGAGGGGTCGCTAAGTGCAAGGACCTAACGTCGGTTAAGCAATCAGGGGCGGACCTACAGTGGTGCAAGTGGGTTCATATAAATTCACTTTGTTAAAAAATAACATCGTATATATATGTACATTTAATTAATTATTAAAATATTATATATATATATATATATATATATATATAAAAAATTTTGACCCCACTAACACAAATTTAAAGCTTGATCGAATGGCTGAGATGGTTCAAAGTTCTCCGAGCCAATCCAGGATTGAATCCGAGTATGAACCCACTTTATAAAAATCGCATGTGAATATTTGACTAGGTCCAATTTAATTTCTTTCCTGTTAATTATTACTCTACTTCTAATTAAGAATTAATTTGTTACCCAACAAAGGAAGTTGCAAAGTGCAATGTGTCAATATAAAATCAATTTGACCAGTTCCATATTGGTTACCTAGCTACCTTCTTTTTTAGGTTATCAATATATTTACTACTTCTATTAAAACATTTATATATTGATTGACATAAAAAAAAAAAAAATATATATATATATAAATAAGTATAATGGGATGATTAAGATTTCTTCATTTTTAACTAAGGTCTTCCTTTGAATCTCTCAGAATGAAAATTGAAAATCTTGCAATGCCCGAATTTTGATATACTCGAGTCTCAATATTGATATCTAAGTAAATATATAAGTGAAAATAAAGTAAATATACAAACATAGTAATCATAGACACAAACAAATTCGTACCGTATACGTCCAAATTCACAAAAATAAAATAAAATATTCAAATCAAATTATATAGAACACAATAATTTATGTCATTTCACCTGAACGCATAAACGATTTGATATTCATAATACAATTTCATTGTTTGATCATATACAAATCGATAAGAAATACATTAAAATATAATGTGTTTTGATTTATGGGATTATTTCCCTTTTTAGAAGCCGAAATTAGCTTGTTTTTAGTTATTCTTTTTCTTTTTAAAAAATTTGTTCACAAATTTAAGATATTCTGCATCAAAGGTTTCATCACAACAAATAAAATATAGTTAATAAGCACAAATAATAAAATTGTAGCTACAGAATATTAGTATGATTATTATCTTTAATTTGCTATTCCTAAAATTATATCTTTATATAGTTTATGTGCAATAAATAAAAATATTATAACAAGACAAATTTTACCTTTACACTTAACTGCATATATATTCGAGGAAACCTAGAAGAAGCGTATGAAGTTGTTCCCTTAATACTTAATAATGCGATTAAATACAACGTCAAAAAGTAGAGGATCAAAATGTAATATTTCAAAGTGAAAATTGAAGTGCGTTCATTCTCTTTGGTAAAATATCTTATATTATTTCTAATAGATTCACAATTTAAAAAAATATATTATAATATTATAATTTAGAATTTAAAAATTTCAAATATAATATCAATATTATTTAGCTAAACTTAAAATAAAAATAATAAAAAAAAGGTTGGTGTCAGTTAGGGTGGTTCTCCTAGCACTACCAACAAAACAAGGACACTTGTATGTTTTATCGTTGGTGCATTGCTAGACGTCCGATATTCAATATTTGAGCCCAGACTAAATGCGAATTTGCACATGGAAAGTCCCGCATCGGGGATAATATCTCTTGACTATAATGAAAGAATATTTACCACTTTACCACAATCGTTGTTGATGTTGCATTGTGCCTACATAGCTATATGTACATATGGTTTACTATTATTTTTGTATAATTTAGAAATTCATCTACGTTACAGTGTTGAATATATATCTATATATTTATCATAACATAATGGTATTAAAGATAATTACTCATTAGAAAATTATAGACAAATATCTTGATAGACACTACAAAATGGGAATAATAATATAGAGTAATAATTAATTTGTTATTATAAATTTAAAAAGAATTATTAATAATATTATTAACGTTATTAATATGATAAAGAATTGCTCAGATGATAAACACGCGTGGAGCTCTCAGATGGAAAAGTATTATTGTCAGTTTGTCACTTACAAATTAAATATAAAAGTTGATTT